TGCCAATGTCTGAGTGGATGGGCCCCTAGAACTGAGGTCTAGGCCGAAACCAATGTGCAAAATAAATGTGCAAATTTTGTAACACAGTTTCGAATTACTAAAAATGACTTTATTGTTAAAAGATTTATTTATAACCAACGGGTATTTGACTTAGTGATCGGCAGGGGCTTTATACGATGCAAAATGTCAATAATTTGAAACGTACTACAGAGTAGACGTCCGATCACAATCCTTAATGGGTCCGCAGATATCCTATAGCGAAGTCCGCCTTAAAAATGGACAATTTTGGATTATCGTCGACCCAAACTAATGATCGACATGTAGTTCAGCGTTGTACTTTCGTTTTCTCCCGTATTTTTGCAGTTTGAATTTTGTACATTCGGAAAACTTTTCAGTTCTCGAAATTCGAAACTGAGGCGATTTTTCCTATTTTTGCAGCGTGTCATCGGCTCTGCCGACAGCATCGACCTTTGACGGCTTCAGTATTCGGGGGCGGCTAGAAACTTCTTACCGACTTTCGGTGAAAATTTTGGAAAGTTAGTTAAAAATATTATTTTCCACACAACGCCTTCTGATTTTCATAGAAAGTAGTTTGGGTCCACTTGAACTTGGACCTACGTGGAGTGGCAGGCGACGACTTCGTAGCTCTAATTGGAAAGTTGAGCGAAAATTTGAAACTTGAAATACGACAACAGTAATAGTATTTACGATTACAAAAGAAACGTATTCTAATCAACATTAGCTATTAAAAAAATATTAATATGCGATTTTTTCGATACACTAACGATATTACCACAAAAGTACCTGTCACAAAAGTCCTATAAAATTCAGTTACTTACACCCCTCTTTAATGAGCGCACTCAGGTACTAAATTCGTACGCAAAGGAAAGGAAGCGTGTAGCAGCACGTGGTTCGAGGTCTGTTTAGGCATTTTTTGAACGCGCCGCTGCCACGTGTCGAATACAGGAAAGAGCCTGCCGTATCCCCCTTCCGCAGCACCCACGATTCCGGCTCCCACACTTGCGCTCATGCCGCCGAAAAGAGGAAGTACGGCAGCTTTGTATATTATCATATCTCGCCAACAATACTCTGACACCGATTTCTGTAATAAACTTATAAACAACGTTTTCAGGTCAAATCCGACTGAAAGAGTGAGCAAGCTGATGGAAACATATGTTCCAACTCTACCTCCGCGAAAGATATTGACGTTCCACCATCGCAAGCTGTCAAAGCCAATTAGTTAAAGTTACAGTAATTTTTTTAAGGATAGTAGCAACAATGGTGTAATAACAGTTTGACTGGTGCCGCCATTTTATGGCGGCTGTCAGAACTGACGTTTGGACTTCAATATTTTATACAGGGTGTCCCCGAAGCATCTGTACACACTTCTACCACAAATTCTCGATCGATTTGCCTTATCTTACCTTTGTACAAAATTTGATAATTACGGAGATAAGTCAGAGTTAATAATTTATTTTCAATTTTCTTCACTATTTATTGATAGAAGCGTGACAACGTTATAAAACTTGGTATACAGGGTTTCTTTATGGTGAAAAATTTAAATTTTATTTACGGTATAGAGAGCGTATACAGAATTTGCGAACCGTCCTAACATTTTTGCCGTTTACTGTACAGGGTGAATCACTATATTTTGACCCCCCCTTTAACTTTTTTTGTTTTAAGAGTTAAAAAAATGTGAAATATAAAAGTTGTACGATTCTTTATGAATTTTTTAAAATGATAGTAGAAGAACAAATGAAGTCCAAACAAAATGGCCGCGGATGTTAACTTTGTTAAGTTAAATTAAACACCCTGTATATTTTTACATATTTGGATAGAACGTTCCCTGTCGAGCATAGTCATGTAGGATTTGGTGGGTCCATCTCTAACAATAAGCGATATACATACTATTAAAAAATGAAAATAAGGTTTTTTATTAAGAAAATAATACATCTTGTAATTCTTAGACCTCTTTCAGGCATGTCTGCCTTTTTTCCAATTCCGTATGGATTTACAGATGTAGTTATAATATATTTTGAGAGATCGGCCATTGATATGGTCCAAAATGCGTATAGGTATTTTAACTAAATCTCACTAATTAGACCGCGAGAGGCCTAATTACTCATGGACAATGTTATAAGGTAGGTCATGACAGTGACAGGTAATGTCATGGCAACATTATAGTTTGACAGTTTGTATTATTATTTAATTAAAATGGGTTACACAGAAGTAGAAAATTGAAATATTATAGGAAATATTTTATTTTAATTCTAATAATTTTCTACTTCTGTGTAACCTATTTTAATTAAATAATAATACAAACTGTTAAACAATAACTATGTTGTCATGACATTATCTGTCACTGTCACGGCCTACCATATAACACTGTCCATGAGTAATTAGGCCTCTCACGGCCTAATTAGTGAGATTTTGTTAAAGTACCTATACGCATTTTGGATCGTATCAATGTCCGATATATCAAAATATATTCTAACTAAATCTGTAAATCCATACGGAATTGGAAAAAAGGCAGACATGCCTGAAAGAGGTCTAACAATTACAGGATGTATTATTTTCTTAATAAAAAAAAAACTTCTTTTCATATTTTAATAGTATCTCGCTTATTGTTAGAGATGGACCCAACAAACCCTACACGACATGAAGGAACGTTCTATCCAAATATGTAAAAATATACAGGGTGTCCCATTTAACTTAACAAAGTTAACATCTGCGGCCATTTTGTTTGGATTTCATTTGTTTTTCTAATATCATTTTCAAAAAATTCATAAAAAAATCGTGCAACTTTTATATTTCACATTTTTTTATCTCTTAAAACAAAAAAGTTAAAGGGGGGTCAAAATATAGTGAATCACCCTATACATGATTTTGGAATGACAATATTTGTTCGTCTAAGTGTTGCGTTTAAAAAAAGGTATACCTTGTTAATGTCGCTAGGAGCAACCGTTTGCCAGAAAAATTCAACTACAAGACAATTTAAAAATTGCTTTGTTAGGGCGTAATCAAACAAACAGGAATAAAACTGCAAAACAAACAATAAAACAAAACTGAAAATATGTGAATTTTAATAATTATCCAAAAACACTTTAAGCAAATGTTCAAAATAACCTCCGTTTTCATGTATACAAAAATTAATACGACGATGAAAATTAAATTGTACTGAATAATTTCCACATCTTGCGTCAAAAAGGTTCACTGAATTTTGTACCTTTATAATGGGTCTGGATTAAACCATAAACCACAGATAGAGTATTCCATAAAAAATAATCGAGGAGCGTCAAATCTGGCGAACGAGGAGGAGCATCAACACCATTGATTTGGATATTGTTGGTTGCGGACGTTTAAAGCGAAATGTGAGAGCGCCCATCGTGCATAAACCACATATCCTTGCAGCTCATCCAATAATTCAGGCAATGTTATTTGGATATGTTCTAACAAATTTGCACCATTTAAGTGACGTGGTTAAATGATGCAATTGTCATGATTCCTGCGCACATATTAATCCTAAATTCATACTGATGATGAGTTACTTCTGTCGCATATGGACTTTCGTCTGCATAAATACTATGTTGCATTATGCAAGTTTGTTATACCACTCCCCGTAAAGCAAGTCTCATCGGGAAATAAAATATTTTTTATAAAATTAATGTTTTGGACTCTTTGTTCGGTAATAAATTGGTAGAAACAGGTGGTGATCGGTATCTGAAGGTCAAAGATCGTGCACTTTTTGGATGTGACATGGATGAAGCAATTGCTCTCTTAAAACTCGATGAATCACATTCTTACACACTTCCAATTCTAAATCTAGGAGTCTCGTGCTTGTTGTTAGATCTTCTGCAACCCGTTTCGAAATCTCTTCGTCAGCATCAGATATCCTTACCTTATGCCCCCGTCCACAATCAGCAGTTACGGAAACAAAGCGACCAATTTCGCGAAGACACCTCTCGATGGTTTGGTATAGGTACGTCGACTTGGAAATCTTTCTCTGTATATTCTAACACATTCGCGAGCATTCCCAAAACCCAAAAACCAATAGCATGTCAGTCAGCTACAGCCATTGTGAACAGATGTAACTATTTATGATCAGATTTTAATGTCTAAAAAAACCTTTATACCTTTCGGGGTCACCTTGTATATCCCAAAATTTCTCATTGGGACCAGATGGACTGGTGACGTCAAGACTGGTTTTTACTGTTGAGTGTCAAAATTCGATGGAATGGAAAATGGGGGCACAGAAAACACGGTTGAATATTGAACTTGAGTTCATATTTGAAGCAACAAAATAAAGAGGGAATTAATTTTTAAAAATTAAACCGTTTATATTTTCTTATTTATCTAATAAAGTAGTTTAAAAAGACTGTAATGTCAATTTAAATATATGTAATATCGTAATGATTGAGGCGTGTTAAGCAACAACCGATTCCCCTTCCATCAATTTATCAGAAAAACCAAAATGAATCTTTGAGAAACTGATGTCATCAACAAATTCAGCAGTTTAATTAGAAACTGTTTAAGTTTGACACCAACAGGAAAACAGGAAAACAGTGTTGATTCATGAGATGCCACCTGGTCTGATATACTGAGCAATTTAAGATGTTGGTAAAAAAATTTTTTGACGGTTGAAATACTTGAATATTCTTGTCATCTAGCCACATAAATAAAACTAAAAATACAAGGACTTACAACTACCTGGAAATTGAAGGAACTTCTGAGACAAAAATCAAGAACCAGAAGAAGAACAGACCAGAACTTCAAACCATGTAGGTACCGGATCGCATTTGTCAGTACACAACGAATATAAATACCGAATAGATGACCAGTCCCATAGCTACTTTTGAAGAAGAGAATAATTTATCTCTCGAAACGTCAAATATCTAAACCAAGAACATGGCAATCAGCCTGAAAATTGTAAAGAAGAACATCACCAAAAAGATAATTTTATTCATGCTACACATTATACCATAACATTATTCCACTATAAATTAATCCTCTAATATATCCAAATATCTCCATAAGGTTTCAGGTACTGGCAAAGTTCTAATCCCATTAGGTAACTGATAATTCTGCCAAAGCCTTTCTCTTATGCAACACCTGCATAAGTGTTTCAGTTCGGGAGGAATCAAACCACATCTTGAAGGTGGCAGGAGTCCATCATCTATGAGATCAGCATATTTTCCCTTTATCATGTTCACTAATGTATCCCCTTTAACCTCGTCAAGGATTACACTTTCATTAGTACTTATTGTTACAGTAGATACCACTCTTAGAAGCAGTTGCAGACAAGATACTAAGTTGTAAGGATAAACGTGGTTAAATTCTAGAAGACGACTTAAGATGTGATCAAACACGTTAGATTCTTCTTTATCACTGCTGTGTACTCTTGCTCCAAAACGTAAGAGTATTGAAAGTTTATCTGGTAGACCCAATTGGACACAAACCTGTAATAAATATGATTATAAATACATAGCTATTTTTTATTCTAGTTTGGGAAGTACATATTGCTTTTGTATTTACGAATGGAATTTGTTCACTATAATTTATCGTTCGAAACGTAAACATTTTCCAAATTAAACAAAAACACGTACCCTCAGAGGAGATGCCTTGCCACAGTTTTCGATTGGCAAATCGATGAAACGAAGCAATTTCTCTTCACCATCGACGCTGAAAGGTAATTCTAAACCGGCAGCATTTGCTTTATCAATGAAGTAAACAACGGCCCTCAGATTCTCTTCCTGCGTGTCAAAATCGCATTTCCATCCTGCTATGAAGTGGGGTGCCTTGTTACCGAAAATAGCACCAATTAAAATACGCTCAAATGTTTTCTCGCAATTGTAAATAGTTTCCAGAAGCGTAGATACCTGAAAGTGTGCTGAATTTTTAAGTAAATATTTTGATAACTGTTACAAATAACGTAAACAAAACGTGTAAATATCTGCTCCTGACATGAAATATTTCCCTAACAGTAATCCATAAGAATTGAACATTTCAAAACAAATTATTTTGGTCGCATTAAAAATTCGTACAAATTTTTAATAGCTGTTTTATGTTGAGAATTGATTCATTAATAAATTCATGAAGTAATTTGACAACACATTGGGTGCATTACAAAGAAGTTGGACAACTTCTTCATGAAGCAACTTCAAGAATTCATGAAGAAATTTACAATGTAAACCAGCTATAAGAACAGAGTTCAGGCAGTGCAGCCAGACACATTGTGATTAAGTATAGAAATTTGAATTACGAACAAATTTTCGTATGACATCCAATGTAACCATCGCCTCATTCAATAGTTGTCGAAAAACGCATTCATTATTTCAAATTAAGACCGGCTAAATCAAGGCACCCATATGAATTAAGGTGATGTATTGATGTCTAAATCATACGTACTATTTCGACATCCTTCAGTTGCCAATCATAACAAATTTTGACAGAAACATATAGAATATTATGGTACTTTCCCATCATACAGACAGTTCCGTTACTGCCTCTCTTTTCCTCGTGGTAACGAATTATAGTTAGTACAGCTAGACGACAGGTCTCTTGTATATCTGTTTCCACTAAAAAAATTATAAGTGAAAAAAATATTGTGAAAGTGCCAAATAATATGAAAATATATCAAAATCTTATAGGCTATTGATCATGTCTTCAAAAGCAGGGTACTAAGGAACTACAACGTCGATGGGTTTTTATTGCATGAATCGTTCAAATGGTTATTTAGAATTAAAAAACCGCGGAATGCTATTAAATTAGAGGGTCGAAATTGGAGATAGGGGTGAAAATGCAATATCTCGAAAACGAAGCAAAATTTGAGGGTATTGCGTAGGAAAAATTTTGTAGATAATGATATTTTCTATAGAAATAGCTTATTTAAAAAATTTAAAAAATGTATTTACTGCAAAATATATTAAAAACAATTTAACAAAAAAATGTAAAAAATTCAATTTTTTGTTTGCTTTTAAGCAATTAACTTTTTTCTGAGCAGAGGTAGGTATAGGCATTGCTTCATAGAAAAAAAAAAGTATATAAAATTTCCTTCAAAACAAGAGTAGAATTTTATTTTCAAATTTGTATTAGGACATTATTTGAGGTTATAAACAGATTTGTTTTATAAAAATGTCGTGTAAAATAATAAATAATGGTACATCTCTCTCGAGTATTTTCGTGTTTTTTTTTAATTTATGAGCACCCTGCACATCTAATCTAAGATGTTTGTATGACAGTCTTATTTTTTCGAGGGACAGAACTTTTTTTAAAGAGTGACATTTTTCGATACAGTCAAAAACAAAAGAATTTCTCCTCTTGTCAACTCCATCAGTGGACACATTGTATATACATTATTAATAAACTTTATTGTACTTAAATTCTCGAGTTTTTACTAAATTATTTTATTAAAAAAGTAAAAAAATCAAAAATCTTATTTTTTGCTTCCTTTAAAATTGTTTATTAACGATTTTTTGCATAAAATTTTCCTTTTACATTTTTTAAATAGGCCATTTCGATAAGAAATTCAATTCTCTACAAAATTTTTCCTATGAACTATACCAAAATTTTACTTCGTTTTCGTGCTATATTTAAAAAATTGCAAAAGTACTTTTTCACACCTGTCTTCAATTTCAACCCTCTAATTTAATAGCATCCCGCGGTTTTCTCATTTTTAATGGCCCTTCGAACAAGTCATGTGATGAAAATCCTTGAACGTCTTTTTTTTCTATGAAGCAAAAAAGTAAAAAAATATTGTTTATTAACCATTATTTTGAATAAAATTTTGCTTTTAAATTTTTTAAATAAGCTATTTCAATGGGAAATTCAATTCTCTAAATAATTTTTTCTATGAACTATAGCGAAATTTTGCTTCTTTTTCGAGCTACAATTAAAAAACTGAAAGGGGTGCATTTTCACCCTATCACCAATTTCCACCCTCTAATTTCCCTAATAGCACACGACGTCCATTGGACGTCCATTTAATGTCCATTTAACGTACAGACGTCCATGGACCATAAATGGACATTCGATGGATGTCCATTCCTGGACATATTTTGATAGAACATACATTGGACATCCGATGGATGTCCTTTATGGGACATATTTTGATGGTACATATATTGGACATCCGATGGATATCCTTTATGGGACATATTTTGATAGTACATATGTGGACATTCGATGGATATCCAGTATTGTACATGTTCTGTTATAATTTGAATTTGCCGCTAAAATTCGTGCAGCGCATGTGTATTGAAAAAAAATATGGGTCCAAGCACGCTCACGGTCCAGTCCACGTCCAGAATCCAGAACCAGCCTCTAAAGTTTAAACTGTTCTTTTCTCTTTGGCGCCGCTATGCCGCTAATAAAGTGATAAACGTAGATGTGTAAAACCAAACCCTATAGAAGGATTAGGAAACCGAAGTAATATAAATCACATTTTGTAAGTAAATTTGTATTTTCAACTGTTAGTCTATTTGTTGGCTAGGCTAAATTCATAACATTTTTATGTAGACAATTATGTCACAGTATAATGTACCAACAACCGACAAAAGTGGTTTTCGTCTTTAGATAAAGAAGTTTTCATTTTCACTCTAGTTGTTGAGTTTTCTCGTCTTTAGCTATTCTAGGTTAAGTTGAGTAATGTATAAAATGCCCGGGAAAGTTTACTTCACTGTGGTTGTTCTGTGGTCCTGAGTGAAATAATTTATTTATTTATATTAATTGTATCCTTGTTTATAGTATTCATAGCAATACATCTGACCTAAATGTTTAGACAAAAACTTAATAAAACATCTAAACGCCACCAGTTTAGAAAAGCAAAGTAGTTGAGTGATTATGCAGATAGGTACATTGTGCTTCCTCTGCTACATAATAAAGACTTTTAAATATTTTGTTTTATGTGCACTGTATACATATATGTGTATACAACATATTAAGATATAAATTCAGCAGGTACCTACTACTGCAAATTATTTTATGAGTTTAGCCTACAAACCCATTACCAAATTTTATGTCATAACCTCTGCTTGTTTTATTTTATTCTACAGACTAATATACTTCGATAAGTCAAAAATGTCCAATAAATCAACATGGACAGTTGTAAAAATTTTAAAAGACAATTCCGTTGAAGCTGTACCTACAAATTGGTTGTCTGGAGACAAGTGTTTCTGGCCACGCTACCCAAAAGAACGTATCATTAAAGCAGTTAAATTCTGTGAACCAGCTTCATCCTCTTGGGAACAGCATGATATTTCTGCTTTTAGGAATGCCACCTATGGTAAAATATACATTTTTTAAAATTATTGTACGCACCTAATGGTAAATTTTTTTTAGGAGACTACGTAACGGCAAGAAAGAAAAGTCAAAAAGCAGAAACCATATCTGATCTCAATACAGATTCGGAAATAAAAAGAAAGATCAAGCCACCAAATAGATTAGCTGCGTCCTCCAGTACATCTGATTCAGAATCTGATGAATCTGCCCATAGCAGAAACCCGACATCATTCTGTGCTTAAGAAATGTCCTACAGTGGTTTTAAAAGCATTTAGTGAAGGTATGCAAGATATTTTTCTGGATATCAGTGTGTTGGTGGATTATTTGATAACAGTTGAAAAACTATTTCTCCCCTAATTTTATCGTAGAATTCCTAGGGATGTACATATTTCCCAAAACAATCGAGAAAGCAATTTCCCACTTAGTTATTGTTAAATCAATAATACAAAATATCCATTTTTTATTTGTATTTTAATTATTATATTTTCTAATTAATAATTAGGAGAAGAAACAAATACATTAAACAAAATATTACATACAAAAACTTTTTTTCAATAATAAATAATTAAAATGTTACTATTTTCATCTACATGTTAAACAAGTATTCTTACACACAACTTGTAATGCAGGTTAATAATGCTAAAAGATTAAATCTGGATGAAGGTTTATGACTAAAATAAAATGTGAATAAATATTTTTTGTTACAGACAATAATTCACAATTAAATTCATCTGGAATGTGACGTATCAAATAGGTACTTTTGTAAATATTACTGATGGTGGCATAGAAAGTGCAGGCAGTTTTATTACTAGTACACTTAGCACCAAGAAGATAACTAGTGGTAAGATTATATTTATTCGTTACTTGTTAAGGCTTTTTTAATTACTCAATAAGTACTATTTTTTATTTTGTATAGCAGGTGAAAAAGACTTGTATGTGTACATAGAGAATATAATTTAGACAAACCTTAGTCTGAACGTTAATATTAACAAAGATATGGAGTGTTAAAGTTGAAATTTTATTTTCATTTTGTAATAATTTCTTAAAAAATCCACAAATTTTTGGAAAAGGGGATGTTTGATGCGACGAATTCAAATTTATTCATGGTTTTTTTTATTACTTATAGAGGGCACCATATATGCGCTGCGCTGGTTGTGTTATTAATGAGTCATAATTTTATAACCCTTGGTATGTTAACTTTTTTTTGTTCTCCTGTATTGTACATACAAAAATGATATACTTTGTTGTTGACAAATAGGAAAAAAGAAAACTTAAGGTAGTACTCCCAAAAATAAGAAAAAAGTTCCTATAAAGATGGGTCCAAAAATACTTTATTTTTTCAAAAAATATTTAAACTTACACTGCGTATTAAGATACATTTCTAATGAAATGAAGCTTATTTGGACTCTTCCGTCTATATAATTTTTTTTCTTATTTTTGCAAATATAGGTACTACTAGTCTCCGAGTATTTATTTATTTATTTATTTTTTTTTGACATTATACATACCAAATGATGTTATTTTTGCATTGAAAAATTATTACAAAATACTGAAAATAAAATTTGTCACTTTAACACCCCGGATCTTAGTTAATATATCAACTTTTCAACTAAGGTACGTTTAGCTAAATCGTAATTTTTTTACATAACGAGTCTGCCATTGCTCTATGTGCACGTACTTATGGAGTAGTTATATATTTGATTGATTCTAGATGCAACTGAAAAAAATTTTCATTGTGAGAATAAAAGAAATCGAAGAAGCAATAAAAAAATATTTAAGAAGGAGTAAGGAAAGGAGTGATGCAGAGGAAAAAAAGAGGAGAAGCAAAGGCGAATAAATTTGATAAACAGTATTGTAAGTTATACAGGGTGATCCAATAGTGAAAATTTTTTGGTAAATTATTGAGCATCAAAGTGCGCAACTTTGCCTCTATTTAACCAACTCTCTATATCTCCTATAGTTACTGAGATAGCAATGCTATTGACTCGATTTTGTAACACCCTGTATATTAGATAGAGAAATAAGATGTATTGGAGAGAATTATATGGATCTCTTAATTATTTATGTATTTGTTATTCCTGTAATAATTAGAAAAACAATAAATACATTATCAAAAGTATTTCTATAATTCCAATGCAGACCTCCATTAAATGTCCAAAACAAGACATCTATGGGTAGCACAAATTTGGTACAGAGGCGGACATATTCTGTGGGTCCGAAAGTGGTACAGTAGTGGACGTCCGTGGGTTGCACGAAGTTGTGACATTTGTGCGTCCGTGGGACTTCCAATGGACGTCCATCGAACAAAAACCGGACGTCCGTTGGATGTCCGGACTTCCGACTTTGGACATCCTTTGGATGTTCATAGGATGTCCTTGTGCTATTAGGGTTAATAGCACTCCGCGGTTTTTTTATTCTAAATAACCATTTGAACAATTCATGGAATAAAAACCCATCAACGTTGTAGTTCTATACTATATGACCATAATCAATAGCCTATTATTACTTTGGAAAATATCTTTTATTTTCAACCATATACGTATTTCTACACAGTTTTATAAGTCAGAAGAAGATTTACAGACTGTTACTTTCCACGCGGTAGGAATAGTTTGTAAGCTTGTTTATTTAAAGTATAATTTAGTTTTATGCACATGTATGGTTGGCAATAAAGTACTATTGAAGGTAAAAATGTTCATTCCTGAAGTGAGACATAGTTACTTTCTTACACCCTTAACAATAATGAACCACTTTTCACCTCCATATATACTACTAGTACATACTTAGTATTTTTTTTAAAAATAAAAATTGAATCTACATTAGTTTTTTCATAATTTACTTCAATATACTTACCCATTTAATCTGAGACTTATAAGGTATATAAAACAAAATTAAATGAATTTTCAAATTTTATTTTTTACAAGTTTTTTTTCTTCAATTTTGTTCAATAGCAATCAGAACTGAATATACAAAAGAATATATAACCACTGTTTTTTTAAGAAATTGCAGATTATAATTACATTATAAAAATTAGATTACTGTAAAAACTTAAAAAAAAAACTTACTACCACTATAAAATTTTCCGTGTGTTCTATGATAAAACTACTGACGTAATGTCAAAAAACTACCTAACTGATCAACTCTTTCAATAAGAATTACCTACCTGCAGAACATGCTTCTATTAGTGTGCTGATATAATCTACCATAGATTTCCTTTTTCTCCTATCGTGTAAGCTACTCCGTGGTAAAGCATCAAAGTGTTCAAAGTAGCAACGTAAAAAATATTCCATTTTCGGTTCAAATAACCGATTTCGCGAAGTGACAGGGCATGACACTCACTGTCAGTTATGTTAAATTTAGCAATGCCTATATATTATAAGTTCTAGTAAACTACATGTTGGTTCTTTAACGTGTAATTGGATTACCTAGCATTTTATCGGCTTCGCGGTTTATCTTTATCATATGTTGATGGAATTGTAACTTCATTTCTCGTATGTACACTAGGCACAGAAATTAAGGGATATTAAAAAAATCCCAAAATTTTTGGTGATTTTCAAAGAAGGGACCAGGGAAATGGCCGTAGAGAGAAGCTTCAAGTGTCTAGTTTTCGCATTTGGAGTGTAAAATTTTTTAGCGTCAGCAGTTTTTTAAAAAAATAATAAAAATTTTGTTTTATTTTAGAATCATGAATGTTTTTTGATGAAGAAAATATATCATTTAAAAATATTCAATGAGTTTCTGTACAATTCAGTTTTCAATAAAAAATAATCTTGATAATGATATTAATTACGTTTGACATGTTAATACAAAAAAAATCTATGGAGGTTACATTAGTTGTTCTAATTAGCTACACAATTTTCTATGAAATGGGCAATCATTTAGATTTTGTAAAAAATCTGTACTGTTTTTCTTTAACAAATTGGTTAATTCTATGAAAACTTTTCCACTGCAACCATACACTAGCTGTGGACCTCCATCTATTAGAGTTTGACAATTGCTTCTTAGCTTTCTGTCTTCTGTTTTTCTTCTAAATAGTAGCGCAGTCTTTATATACCTTCACATAGGCGACAGGTTTCTCTTCCTCTGACAGAACCTGCACAAGCTGCCTTCAATCAGATCCTGCATGTCCAGTTAGCAAGATGTTCTTACTGGTTCAGTAAGTCCACTGTCACCTCCTTCAATGTCCCTTACAAGAACTTCTCATCTTTCGCGCATTCCTGCATAATTGGTCTTAACAACACAGCTAGCGGGAAGGTTCAGACCCCTACTGGGCTGAAGATGAGCTTACTCTGGCTAACTCATCAGTCCTCCCGTTTTGGCAACATCCCTTCTGCGCTGGTGTTCAAGCTAAGGTCACATCGCTATCCATACAAGCTTATACCAGATTTGGTACTTAGATCTGGACCTGGATCTTTGTACAAGAATTTGATCTAGTATAAGCTGATTGCCTTTAACGACTGACTGAATGAGTGATTAACTGTGTTGCACAGTATTCAATGGCCTCCATTTTTGCCAAGAAATCTGAAGCATACATTCCTAGACTAAGTGGGCTTTCATCCCTTCCTCAGCCCCACAAACATCAAGAAAAATTAAGTTTCCTTTAGAACACTATATCGTTTTCCATCTTTTGTTTGCTTTGTTAAGATTCGTTCACGTTTTCTTCTCATTTTATCATAACTAGATGTAGCTAAAATCTAAATAAATGCAGTAACAGGTCCGCCACTAGCCACCACTTGGCTGTGCTCCTATTTCTGACAGTGGGCCCTCTACAATCCTGAAATATCTCCCTGGGGCCGGTGGATAAAGGATTATAAACAAGCTATGTTGTAAAGACACTTGTGAGTTCATTGTCACGTAGGAGGCCATGGCCGCGTCGCGGCGTGTTGCGGCGGCGTCTATTTCTGGCGGCAACTGCTCCCCGAAGCTGATAGACCTGTGGCTCGTACCCGATTTTATGTAAATATAGAATAAAGTACATCCACATTTTTTAAAATATGTATAAGGACGACCTACCGGATTGTTTTCTGTGATTGGCGTTGAAAATATGTTTACTTAAATTGCACTGAAGATGTCTTGAATTATTGAAGCATTTTTAGAATTTCAATGTGTTGTTAGATTTTTATACAGTTTCGGCAAAAAGGTACGACGACGAAACATGTTAAGGAAAAGAGGAACTTTCTGTGATAACTAGAGATCGCTTCGAGCATTACTCCTAGAGGCAGCCTTCAGTGCTGCGAAAGCGCGATTGGTGTGCGAGAGAGAAAGGAGAATAAAAGGACATGCTATGTCTCTCACTCCGCGAGCTGATTGGTCGGGGCTTAGGTGCAGGACGGTCATTGGCATGGAGGGGAGAACGCACCGACCAATCCAGCTCGCGGAGCGAGAGAGATACCATGTCCTTTTATTATCCTTTTTCTTTCGCACACCAGTCGCGCTTTCTCAGCACTGATGGCTGCCTCTAGGAATATATGCTCGAAGGATCACAGAGGTCATGTAGGCCCTCTAGTGCTTGGATTTGGAAGGTAGAAAATAAAAGCAAGGGAAGAAGAGGAGGCCCCTGGAGATCGGGGCCCTAAAGACGTGCTTCTAATGCTTGTGCGTTAATCCGCCACTAGCTTTAGGCCGGGATCTCTTTTATGTAATTTTATTCAAACAAAAAGTGACACAGCCGTTGCCTTCTCATAACTGCACTCTTACGTCATAAGAATATATTGTGATAAAGTGAATAATGGCTAGGAATTTAAATAATAAAGGCAAAGGCAGGTTAAAATACCAAAATTAATTTTAAATAAAATATAAGTTTGAACGAGTTTGTTTTGGGGAGAATGTAAAGCTAAAAATAGTATGTGTTTTGACAGATGCCAATCAATAGGAGTGATGAAGGCACTTTGAAGATGAAATATTATATAAAATAAAGCTGAATTAGTATATAATATAAGAAAAATATCAAAGAGAGGATTTCAAACAATAACTTAAATAAAATATTATGTAATCAACTTTATTCTAAGGCCATGTCTAAAACTTTTTTTAATTCAGACTATAAACTCTGAATTCAGACTTTGAACTTTGAATTCAGACTTAAATCTCTGATCTATTAACTTTCGTTCCAATGCAAGAATGTTCCATTAGTTTCAAATCGAAGTTCAGTTGTATAGTTTGACTACAACTAAAATTTCTCCGAAAATCTTCTAAGGGTTCCTGGGAGAAGAATTCAGAAAACATTGACAATTTCCAGTCTTGACCGAACCTACTCCCCAGTTAACTTTTGTACGCTTACACTGTGACACCCTGTCGATTTTAGATTAAAAGGTTTCTTTGCTGGTATTTTTGACTCCGCCACTTTCACCCCCAAGCAAGGGTAAGTATCACCCCAAAATATTTAAATGGCATTGAGTAATATTTCTTTCGAAAGCTCTTACAATTCTCTTCCAACAGACTTTAAATTTTATAATTCCGCCCAATAGTTATTATGAAATTTTGTTGAAACTTTGCCACCTTCTCGTTGGATTCGCATCCGGAAGATGTTGTGGCAGAAACGTCGGCTAGCACACAGTCGGAGCTGGTCGTGCGGTATTTAGAACTGTAAAGTTCAGGGCGCCAGTAACCTATTAAATACCCACGTTTCTCAAGTCACTTAAAATCCGGTTACAAAATTTTAAGTTTAAAAAAACTTACCCGGACGCTTATGCCAAAACCAGAAAAAAAAAAACTATTAAAATATTCAAAAATATAAATTTAATAACACGTTTGTATGTATCAGAATTAGATCTCAGTTTCAACAATGAAAAATATAGAAACCGTAAATATACTTGTGTGAAGATTCAACCAAATGACACTAATTATAATTATAAATTTAACCGCTCGTGATCACGGGTGGCGCACAAAAAAAAAATATTATGTTATAAATATTATAAATAGATGATAATAATTTTTGTAATTTACTTATATATAAAAAAACAGTTGTACAAAAAACATACAAGACAAAACTATATGTTCATATACATATATAGGTATAAGAAACGATAAGAGGCGTGTATCAAGACAAAATTACACTAAATATCTTCATTGGTATGAATTATCACGCATCAGACCAAAAATAACACGTATTTATATAGGTATAGATTTAGAAGAGTTGGGATAATAAATCCAATATAATTAAAGGGAAAAAAAAAAAAAAACTAAAACTACAGCTTATCTGTGGATGGTCAACGTCGGGGTACAGCAAAATGGCGGAGCAGTTTGATGGGACAGCCGGTATACTGCAACAGCTCCCAATTTTCCACGATTCCCGAGTCGTACGATTCGTAAGCCACTCAGCCAGTATTCACTTTCCTGCCGCAACTATTGGAGGCAGCCCTGACAGGTAGAAAGGATGCACAATGCACCAGAATATGCACCATGTGCTAAAAAGCCCTAAAATCGAGATTTACACCCGTGTTAAGATCTAGTCGATCGCGGAAAACAACAAATAATGACTTACGTGGTTGGAGGGTGGCTTGGTAGTGAGCTATATACATATAATAGCTTGTATAATTTATCTGGGGGGGCCGAAAATGTGGGCAGATGTCCTTAAATCCAGCAAAGCAGCCGAAACTATGAGCCGTTAGCACAGGTTCCCACCAATACGGTCACAGTTATAATGCAATTTGTCATATATCCCAAAGGAACACTTTGAAAATGTTACTATCGTCGAAAATTGTCACAGTTCACCTGCTTCACACTTTAATAGCCAACTCCCTTTCTAAGAATATCAGTATCTCGATACGAACGGTTTTTATGTTTGAATAGCCGCAAAAACGCTGTTCTAGAATATTCGGGACTACATCGATAATTTTTCACAGGAATAACATAAGTTAAACAATTTTGACAAACAGGATTATTTAATTTTAACTGCTTAATTTTAAATAATAATAATTATATACTGATTAACATTTAACATGATAAAATTACTCAAATTTATTTAAATATCTCCAAAAGAAAGAAATGTGAATTTTATGTATATTTGGTTGTATACTACTAGAAGTTGTTTGACTTTGAGCGGTTTACTCTAGGATTATTCAGAACTATACTACGACTAAAATTTTAACGTTACAACTTATGTAAAAACATGTAGTAATGGTAAAAATGTCAGTCATTCGAGTTAAGTACGCCAATGGTATAAATTTAGTACTTCTTGCGTTACATTGATTTTTGACGATTTGTTATCACTTCCCTAATAAAAAACACAATTGTAAAAAACAGAAATGAATGCTATACACACACAATGAACGTAAAATTGGTGGATTCCAAA